CAAGCGAATACTATGATACAGATATATTGAAAAGTATTCAAATACTTAAAAAAATAAGTATTCAAATTACTTTAGAATGTACCTACCTTTAAAAGTATTCGAATAAGTATTCGAATACTTTCAAAAGTATTCTAATACTATCAAAGGTATTCGAATACTATAAAAAGTATTCGAATACTTTGAAAAGTATTTCATTATCTTACTTTGAAAAGTATTCGAATACAGTAAAAAGTATTCAAATACATTAAAAATTTAAAATAGTATACTAGATAAAAGGCTTAATACTACTTAAAAAATCAAGTTATACTTTGTATGGGGTTAGCTTTTTTTTATATTTCTATTGTTATATACAAATTTAAGGGGAGTAAAAGCGTAATATTATTATTATATTATTATATAGGAGGTACCTACCAGGACCTTTCTTATACCAGTTATATCCTTAAGAATACGTGTACCAGTTTTTAAAGCGTCGTGCACATGATACGTACGCCTTTCTGAAATTAATCCTAGCGATTTTGGAACAGATCCATTTTTGACCATCCGTTTGTCCGTGTGCATGATAACTTGTTTAGAAACGTGCGATCGCTTTGAAAATTGGTACACATGGTCTTAAGGATATAAGAAAGGTCCCTATTGTTTTTAAGTTACGTAGACTATCGAGTTCGGTATTCAGATGTATCGGATTTTTATATTTGATTTTGTGACAATGGAAACTTTCCCTACACATTTCTAAATTGTTCTCAAATATTTGAATAACTTAAAAGTACTGCCTTTTTTTGAGGCCGGGAAAAAAAATTGTCTGAGATCGAGACCGATCGAGAGTCCATAATTTCAAACAGTTTGAAGATTGGGCTACTCAAAAGTTACAGCTTTTTTTTCGAAATTTGTTTTTTGTCCATAACTTTTTATTGAGAGGTCAAATCGAAAAAGTACGAATTGTTTTGGATTCTACGCACCAAAATTAATAAGAAAAAGTGTTTTCCCGAGAAATTTTGGTGTAGTCGATTTTTGGTAAAAAGGAAGGTTAAACCCTGTCTTTTTTTGAGGCCCGCAAAAAAAATTGTCTCAGATCGACCCGGAAAAAAAATTTTCTTATAGAATGTGGCCTGTAGAATCCATAATTTCAAACAGTTCCAAGATTGGGCTACTAGTTCAAAAGTTACAGTCCTTTGAATTTTCTTTCGAAATTGGTTTCTAGTCTATAACTTTTGATTGAGCAGTCTGATCGAAAAAGGACGAATTGTTTTGGATTCTACGCACCAAAATTAATAAAAAAAGTGTTTTCCCGAGAAATTTTGGAGTAGTCGATTTTTGGTAAAAAAAGGAAGGTTAAGTATTCAAATACTATGCGAAGTATTCGAATACTAAATATTTGTGAAAGTATTTGAGTTACAAAAACAAATACTGCTTCCATAAAAGTATTTAATTACAAAGTATTTGAATACTAAAAAGTATTTACAAAATCGAATACTTCCCAGCTCTGTTCATTGCCTTGTAGTCTTTTCACAAACGAGGATCAGAGGTCGATAAAGTTGGCACTCCTCACTTTGCCTAAATCAAGTAAAAAATAGCCATAATTTAAGACTAATTTGTACTCACAAAATTAGAATTTGTAGCCGCCTAGTTCTGTCGGAAAACCAATTTTTAAAGTGGGAGTTCTGCAGTTAACGTTGCAAAAAGCAACCCTTTCAAGAGAAAGGGGATGTTGAAAAGTAAGGAGCAGTCTTTTAGCTCCCAGGAAAACAGTAATACTAAATGCAAATACTGTGGTATGAAAGAAGAAAGAAAGAAAGTTTTCCAAAGCACAAAAAAAACAGAAAGAAAGAAATCAAAGTAATACATTCAAATTGACAAGAATTTTTAATAAAATTAGACTTAAAGTGCGCTATGGCTAGGTACCTCCTTATATTGTTGTATAGAAGTTACCCTTAGAAATTATATGGAATGTAGTGATGGTGAACACGACCCCATATTAAAAGGTGTACTTTATGCAATAGCAATAAAAAATTAAAAATTGTACTTGTTGCCGGATAATGTACAGCAGATAATTAATAACAATGATGATATTTGAAGCCGAAAAATGTTTAATATATATATTTAAATAAAATTTCAATGTTTTCTAAGGTAAAGAGCCACGATTTTAATTTTTTTTAGAAAAAAACGAGTGTTTTTGGGGGTCACTTCAACCGGGAGTAGGTTGTAAAATTTTGGTGCACAATATATAAAAAATATTTTATATGCTTGTAATTTTGGAATACCTACGTATTCCAACACGGTTACGAGATTTAAGCCTACTCGAATATACTGTAGCACTACCTCTTAAGTGTCCTCTCATGAAAAATGTTCCCAAAGGATTATAAAAACCGGATAAATCGTGGAATAATTTCAAAAACAAAGATGGCGTGGGGCGATCAATTGTTTTTGCAATAACCTGCTTTAACTTCTTAACGGTTTGACCGATTTTAACGAATTTGGTATGGTTGAAAGGAGCATTCCTTGATAAAATATAGTTAATTTAGTTGAATCCTTCTCCACCAGGGGGCTAGTTTTGACCCCATGTCCCAAAATCCTCAAAAAATCAAAAAAATCAAATGAAATGATATGACTTTTTCTTTATGAAAAGGTAGACAAATAACATCCAAAGCGGCCAGTTCAAAATCTCGTTTCTAACCTCAAATATTGGGAAAATGAGATTAATGGATCTTTGAAGACCACGGATCGCGCGGTAAATTTCCTAAAACTACTAAAAATTTAGCTACAAAATGAATAAGATGTTAAAGAGGCACTTGTGAGTCTAATTAGAAGATTTTTTAAACTAAATATAGTTTTATTTTGTTTTTGCTGCGAGAAGAGAATGAAACTATATTTAGTTAAAAAAAATCTTTGCATCTATTAAATAATATAAATATAAATAAACATTTATGTTTTCATATAGTTTTACTTACCCTAAAATTACGCCCGCAAACCAACTTTTGCCTCTTGGTCCCATAGTTAACATCCGCCCTTCAGGTGTGTAACGTAGTCGAATATGGGCCACCGAAATGGGGAATGAGTGGCCAGTGTAGTAAAAATACGCCAAAAAGAACGACTTTTTCACTGTTTTTGCACTTTCCAGGCGCCATATTAGTAGGTAATTAGGCCCCAGGCATATGGTGCTGTGGGAGGATCCCACATGATTAAATGTTAACTTTACCATAGAAATAAATTTTGGACGCCGACAATAGGCCAGAAAAAAAGGAGAAAAAATTACAAATTTTGTGTTTTTGACGTTTTTAAGCCGAATTTTGGCATTTAGGTCCCTAATATGAATACGAAAGTGTGCCTAAACGATGTCGTCGCTACCAGTAAAAGCGATCAGCGGGGTGCCTTGGGAGCTCGAAATAACCGAAAAACGACAATTTCGACCGCGGCAAATTATCTGAAAATGTGCAAATGGGCTCCTCTAAATACAGAATATTTTACATATCCCCGCTAGTTTCCCCAATAATCGACTGTTTCAAGATAAATGAGACACGCTGATATAAATTAATTAAGTGACATGATAACGGAAGTGGTAGTCACAAACTTTACCACAACTCATAAAAGAAATGCCAATAAATCATCCTCTAAAACTGGTACCCTTTGTAGGCACCATGTCTTTGTTATACTTGGACAAAAACGAAATTTACCCCTTTATAATTTACGCGTGTTCAATTGGGCACGGGTTAATATGCAACAGTCGCCTTCTCCACTATCCGTGTCGTAACATGTTCGTTGTTACGTTACGGGTCATTTGTTACAACCCTGTTTAAGAATGTGTGTACCAAATTTGCTTCCAATCGGTTAAGCCGTTTAGCCGCAAATAAGAGTACCGACGGATAGACTGACAGACCGACATGATCAAGATTTAGTTTGATTCGAATTCCTGGTGTTTCAAAACGTGCATTTCCGTAAAAAAAGCGGGGGTTATTTTTACCCCAATGCTGTACCTCCCTTACTAACCGTGCGGGTGGTATAAAGTTTTTGACTGTTTCACATCCGTTATGCGTAATGTACACTACCAAGCTTTAACGAAATCAAAATAGCCGTCTTGCCAACAAAAAATATAGTTTTTTAATTTTGAAGTTTTTTTTTGGTATTTTTGAAATAAAACCTGGCACAATTCAGTTCGTGGCCACGATTTGCTACGAATTATCCTTAATTTGCATTTAAAAAGAATACAATATACAGAACGCACAATTTACCTTATAAATAGTCATGATGGATCCATGAATTTGGGAGATTTTCTACCTTGAACTTGAAACGAGTTCATAAACGATAAAAGTACTAGCAAAATAAACTGAAAATGTGTCTAACGGACATCAAAGATTCTATTTTTTTCTTTAACTCATTCATAAATTATGGCGATCTTTCATATAGATATCTCATGCGTTGACATAATAAATAAATAAATAAATTTATAAGATCTTAAGAAAGCATCTGGAAAACTTTTGGAAATTTTTTAGTTTTTAAATTAAAAAAGAAACACTGTCAAGTCATTAACAGTACCAGTCAGTAGTCGGTTTTTTTTCCTAGAAAGTTCGTGATTTTTTTAAATATTTTGTTAAGAACTATTATCAACGTTTTCATTTAGTGTATAACTTATTTTCTTAAAAAAAATCATTTCGAATTGGTACCGCCAAGAGTCTGCAGAGCAGAAGGTTGATTTTAGCATACTCGGGCCAAAGTGGAACTCCATCGGTTAAAATTTTAATAACTCTCTCTACTCTCCCCTACTAAAATTACTTGGCAAGAGAAAAGAAGGATTACACTATGCTTGCTTTTAAAAAGACTAAATTCACCCCGATAAGCACTGAGGGTGAGCCCTCCTCATCCAAGTCACTTTCGTAATTAGTCACCGCAACATGGACATTCCGATTACATAGAATTAATTTAAAGCATGCTAATTTTACAGATGGTCGACTGGGAAAGTAGCCTTGACCCTTCACCGAAAGCAATTAATTGTAAAAATTAGACCGTGCCTTCCTCGCCGCCTTCAAAATCCAGAGTATTCTCGATCCAATTCTCCTCCTTGTCATAGACCGATGTGACCCTCTCCGACTCGACACTCTGCAGGGTCTCCGCCTCCCTTCGCCTGGTCGCGTTGAGCAACAGCTCGATTTTATCATAATTAAACCTCTTCTTCTGCCTCGCCAGAATCTCGTCGGGGGACGGTACGCGCGACAACGGCGGACGTTTCAGTTGCGGAAAGAGCTTCCTCTCCAAATAGTACTGGAGTATCTGCTGCGTTATTCGGTTTTGTCTCGCGACCTCCCAGTCGACCTCCGGTTCTGCAAAGAGATCAAGAATGTAGTCGGCCGGCGAGGTGATCCGCGAGGGACGCTCTGGACCTATACGAGTTCCTCCACACCAAAATTTAGAGAGTCGAGTTCCGCCAGGTAGCGGCAGCGCGTGGAGGAACTCGACGGTGCAAAGCCTCAACGGGTGCCTGTTAGTAAGTTAGTTAGTATAATTGTTTGATTGCTGTATCTAATACGTTAATGATGATGATTTTGTGCAGAAGTAACGAAATAAAAAGAAAAATATGGTTAGATGAAGATGGAGTATTGCGATAAAAAATAAGCATAAAAATATGAGTCGTAGTCCAAAAAGCCAATTATGTTTATTTCACATAAAAATTGAGGAAATTTGAGTCAATCTGGGGAATTATATGACGCTTTTGTCGAAATTAGTGCATATTTTAAGAAAATGCGAAGGAGTTTTAGAGAAAAAATTTTGGAAAATAGTAAGTCAATTTGTAAGGTTACTTATATCCTGTAGAAATTGTAAGGCAACACAAGCAGTTCTGGTGAAACTAAAGGAAATTCTTCACATTAGACATGGAAAATTTTTTACAACATGTAGGAAATTTTGGATGGATTAAAAGCAGCTTAGAATTTTGAGAGAATGGAATAGAATTTTGGAGCAACAAATTACTAAGGAAATGCGAAAATAAGAGAATATGCTAAGGAAATACGAAGAAATTTCTGGAAAGAATTGTTAGGAACTTTGGGAAAATGGAAAACAAGTTGTACTTCTTTTATAAAGTAGGATTTTTCTTAGTTTGCGCGCACGTCATCATTCTGTTTTTGGGGAATATTATTGTAATACCAACGTATTAAACAAATTAAAAGAAATCATTTCAGGCCACAATAAACGTTGGAATTACGTGAGATGTAAAATGTAAAACCAAACACCATAAGTAAAATAGGTTTTTTTTTTGTTTTCACGCTACCTTAAATACCTGTCAATCGAAAGTGTGGTAGTTGACGTTTACATTGCGACACGTCAAATTTATCAACCGTTTACTGCCGTTTTCATTATTTTATCCCGTTTTGCTACATTAGCCGATAAAATAGTATATTATATACCGCGGGACTGAAGTAGTACTTTTAATCCCGAAGGTAAAGTTTATGGCCCGACCGAAGGGAGGGCCATAATTTACCTGAGGGATTAAGAACCACTACTTCAGTCGCAAGGTATATACGATATTTTTCGTACTTCCGAAACTGAAACACTTAATATGTATGGAGTTAGAGAACGCGTTCTTTCAAAAAATCGCTGCTCAACAAGTTACCATAGGAACTGTCATTGCTAGTGTCATAATTTTGGTGTGGGTGACAAAGGTGTATTTGATATTGATAAAAAGCAGCCAAAGTAGGTAAAGAATTGATACCACCGAAATCCAAAAAACTATATGAACAGCAGTACGATGCGTTTAAGAAATAGTACCGCATGCAAAATGTGGAACAACCTACTGAAATTGCTTTGTTAGTAATTTCATCCTTCCGGGATTTTCGTAAAATTTAATCCCGGCGGGACAAAAAGTGACACTTCAGTACTTGTCATAATGGAGTGAAGTTGTCACTTTAGTCTCGGAAGTACGAAAAATCCGTTAGTTTCATAACGAACAATTATAGAAGAAGCATAACTTCCGTAAGTCTCACTGCGATATTCTGCGCCAAAAGTTGTATAATCCTAAAATGCCATCGGGTTTACCAAGAAAAAGTAAGCAACTTATTTCTAATCCTATTCGTTATTTTGAACGAGAAAAGCGGGAAGGCAAACTACTAGAAAGAAACCCGTTGGCGATGTTGATGGTTTAACACATGTAGCGATTCGGAACTCTATCTACGACATGATAGGTTAGTATAACACGCTCGAGGCTGAAACCCAGATCTCGACGACTCCACATCATGTAGACCCGTCCCTAAAGTTGTTAATTACAAAACCCCATTAGGTACTCGTACATTCCTCGTCTTTCGACAAGGGTTCTTATACGGACTCGCATTTGCTGCCAGCCAGCCAGCCAGCCGTCCCGACTATTTCGAATAAGTACTTCAATGATTGTGAATTTTATCTGCGCAAATCAACATGAACACCTACTTGATAGCAAATTTTCTTCTCTACAATTTTTCTCTCTTGGCATTTTTTCTTAAAATGCTTAGTTTTAGGTTAAAGGTAGATTTTATCCCATTTAAGAGGTGGTTTTGGGGTGATGGGCTAAACGCCTTGACGCTGGGGTTTCAGATGGTGTTTAGATCCTTAAAACAAAATACCATGCCAAATTTCAGCTTGTCTCTAATCTGTTGAACCTTACCCATATAAATGGATAGGCCCTGTGGTATACGCAGACATACGCTAAAATACTGTAACCGGTATTGTAACGAAGCGTCTGGAGTTTCTGATTTGAGTCTGTCGTTTGCGAGGACCATCCTATATAGTAACGTTTGACTTGGGCTTCGTTACATACAAAAACCGTAACTTCGAGAACTATCCGCGGTACCATGGAGACAAGGAGATACCGTAATATTATTAATTAGTCCGCCTACGACCATTCATGTTGGAATTTTGGAATTATTTTTGTAACCACCGAAGGCTCTCGTAATATTTTTTGGTTTCAGCGCCGTTAATTGTTTATAGACTGTTTTAGCCATAGTAAGTAAAAGCTAGGGTAGAACAAGTTCCGAAACTAGTTATTTTGCTCGTTATCAGTTAGATAATCGCCAGCTGGTTCTGTATCCGAAAACTTGCAATTAACATAAAGTTAATTAATCTAACGGGTTCATGAGCGCCCATTCAGCCTTTTGAGTGTGTATAATTAATATTCACTAATTAAATGAGTTACAGTTAAGGAGCGCCGATCGAAGAGATTTTGGTGTCAAATTTTGCGCGCTTAATTAACGAAGCGATTGCGATTGCCACGAAATTAATTAAAAATCGAATTAATGTGCACAGCATCCAGAGCGAAGACAGCGAGAATCTGGAAATTCCCTGTTCCACTTCTACCAAATTGTAGTATAATATCATAATATACAGATGACGTACGCGCAAACTAAGGAATATCCTATTATATAGAAATAGGAGAAGTTTAACTTAGTGCCAAAACTCTGCGGAATGAAAAAATTCTCTTGAAAGCACACGATGTCTAGAGGAATAAATGTAAATTGTGGGTTCTCGAGAATTATAAGGGTACTTTGACAAAATAGGATGACGCTCTGGAGAAATTGGGAAAATTAAAACGATACTTCGGGAAAGTTTTAGGGAATTGTAAATACTTCGTATAATATTGGAGATTATTAAGTAAATTTAGAAAAATTAAAAGTACATACTGGGGATATAAGAGTAACTAATAGGAATAAGCGGAAATTTTGGCAACATAGAAAAGAATTCTGGTAAAACATGGAGGAAGATTGGGAAAATAAAAATTGATCTCTAAACTAAAACTGTTACTCGTTTTGTTAAAAATTGGGGAATTTAAAGTAATGCAAGAGCGATTCTAAAAGAAATATAATGAGATTTAGGGGGAACACAAGGACCTGTGACAAAGAAATTCTCGGGATATATGTATATAACGAAATGAGGGGAAATTCTGAGGAAATGAATTGGAAACTATGAAAATAAAGGGTAATTACTTTTACGTTGCCTAGAAATTGAGGTAATTTGTGTCCATGTAAGAAATGAGAAAATTATGGAGGAGGAATAAAAACACGGGATTGAAGAAATTTGTACGAAAAAGTGGGGAAATAGAAGAAAATTCTTAAATAACTTCAAAAAAATTCTGGAGGAAGTTTTAGGCAATGGAAACAAATGAAATTAAACTTCCCATTAGAGTTACCCTCGTTGGCCGATTCAATTGTCCCATAAAATGATTCTACTGCAAATCCAAAATTATAAACCAATCAAAAAAGCAAATTTTTCGGATTTAAAGAATTGATACTTCGGAACATCGATTCAAGATCGATATCACTAGAGTAACAAACGATAGGTAAACCCGGATTTCTTCTATCGCATTTCCTTTTGGTTTCATTTGAGCATTGTATATTTATTATATACAATGACTTTACTTAGGTACTTTTATAATGCAAAACAGTATAGAATATTGAAGAACATTACAAATTAAAATAACACAACACGAAATCTGAAAATACCTCTCTAATATAGTTCTCACCTGTGTGATGTAGTTATTTCATTAGCCCAAATGTTTTAAGGTAATTAACATAAATCTGGCTTCATGCATATATTAATTTTTAATTTAGATTAATTACATAAACACCTACTACTTCTAACCGCTTTTGCGATGTGTAAATTTAGCTGTTGTGTACATAGCAACGTAAAGAAAAAGTAATATAGTAGTTTATGATTTAACGTTTGGGAAATTATTACAGCAACGTCTTTTCTTGAAAAGTCTGTAAAGAAAATCACATACTGATAATTGGCCCACTTTGGAACCCTTGCAGCTACTGTAAGTTATTGATTAAACAAACCGTGTGATCGATGGCATTATTCAATTACTAATGAAAGATGACTTGAAGTCGAAGCTTTGCATAACAATGAAACATTTTACTATCAGTGCAGAAAGTTTTTAGACTCGAGCACTTAGTTCCCCAATTCAATCACGTGAACCAGAAACATTTGGGCTGCATACTATGACCAAAATGGGAGATCAACCAAGGGCCTATGTACCTACTAATTTATTCAAAATAACGAAATGGCAACAGGGTAAAATAGCATTCTTCTTCCAGTCAGGAAGATAAATTATTTCATTTGTTTCTTAGACTCTTAAGGTAAAGACCTAATACAATTCATTTTGAGACCACACAAGCAGAATTAGCCTGCTGGAATCTTCATTAAAATTACATTCCAAAAATATTGCTTACTATGACGGTTTTTTGCTCCAGACTTTTTAATATGAGTGGATTTTTACAGAAGTTAGGAGCAAATATCAAAGTTTACCTCTACAATGTACCACCTCATCCCGTGGGTAAAAATTTTTGTCTGAAAAAGAGGT